GCATTTAAACATTATTGATCCTCTTTTCCTGTAAAACAATGTTTAACAATGTTGTTATTTAAGCTTATAATGTAAGTGTTTGCTAAGAATTTTATGATGAAGCCCTTATCGTAAAGCTAACTGATGCTGAGCAAGTTGTGTTTCAGTTCATCTACAAACAAAACATTTTCAATCAAAATGTTCTTAGAATTTTTGTTTATACATGAATTGACTAGCATATCCAGTCATATATCGTGAGCATCTGTTATCCAGGTACCACATGCTCTCGAGGCTTTTTATGAGAGTTTGCCTACAAAATATTAAATGTCAGATTTAGGAACCCAAATAGGTTTGGGTCCCTTCTTATGAAAAGAAAAATGCAATGCATGTGTGTTATGCTGTGAATCATACAGTTTGGGTCTCCACACCCAATATGTACTACGATGAATAGTATAAGTGTGTTAAATGTGTCATAGCATGCCACATGAGAAACATCTAACTCCGGGAAAATGATTTATATACTAATTTGTTTGGGTTAAAATGTCTCTTCCTAGGTTTTGACTTTAGATCAAGTGTTGATGTATTCCAATTTCTCTCAAGTGTATTCAATTTAATTTTAAACCTTAAGTTAGTACTTTCTAAAATAGCATTATCAACATTCAAATAGTGCTCTTTATGCTCATATTCTTCAATATAAGTTTTAAAATCAAATTTAAGTGAGGTATATGATGCTTTTAAAGAATTATGCTCAACAATCAAATCAGAATGCTTTTTATTTAAATCATCAAATTCATCAAGTAAAGATATGTGATTGCTATCATCAAGTAGAGTGTGATCTTTACTTAAACTTTCATGCTCTTTTTGCAAATTCAAAAACTAATTTCGAACCAATATGCTATTTCTTAAGTTCTTATATGATGCATGAATTTTCTCACAAATTTCAAATAATTGATCATATGTTGATTCACATACCTCTTCTTGATCAGATTAACCAAGATGATCACCCATTAAGCACAAATTTTTTATCTCTTCTTCAGCTTCAGTCTCAGATAAGTCAGATACAGAATCCGCCCAGAAAATTTTTTAGTACTGCTTCATGTCCTTCATGTATTTAGGTTTCTCCTCACTCTTGTTCTTGCTTGTGTGCTCCTTAAGTGTAGGATAATAAGCTTTAACATGTCCAGGCTTCCTGCATTCAAAACAAACAACATTAGAAGAACTTTTATAATTTTTTCTATCCTTACCTCTTTTTCACTTCTAATAATACTTGTTGTTCTTCCTTAAAAAGCTTTTAAATTGCCTAGTGATGAAGGCAATATAATCGTTTTCAGATCTGGAAGAATCACTGTTCGTGTTATTGGCCTTCAGTGCCACAGTTTTCTCCTTCTTTTTCTCACCTGCATCAAGATTTCTTTGATTCACCTTTTGCTCGTAAGCAATGAGTGATCCAAGTAAATTATGAATAAAATAAGTATTTAAATCTTTAAATTTAATAATTGCAATGATCTTAGCATCAAAATAAGAAGGCAAGCATATCAAAATTTTATTGACCCTTTCATAATTAGTTAGCTATGTTCTTAAAGCATGCGATGAGGTGATAATTTGAATAAGCCTAATATACATGTCAAAAATTGATTCAGAAGATTTCATACCAAAAAGTTCATAGTCATGCAACAAAATATTCAATCTAGATTGTTTAACTTCATTGGTTCCTTCATAAGTTACACATAATCAATCTCAAATTTCTTTACTATTTGCACAAGTTGAAACACATATATAATCTTCATATTTCAAAGCATAGAAAAAATAGTTCAAGCATTTTGTATTAAGTTGTGTTAAATCTCTTTCATCATAAGTCTATTTGGTAAAAGGAAGCGTAGTTTTAATGCCATTAATTTCACGAGGTGTATAACCTTCTTTAACAAGCATACACATATGATAATCAAGCTATTGTAAAAATGTAGACATTCGAGTTTTCAAAAAATCAAAAAGAATATTAAAAAACAAAGGTGGTCATGTCATAGAATATCCTTCCGTAGTATTATGATTACCAAAATTAGCCATCGATCAAAATTCAAAAGTTTTCAAAAACTAGATTTTATGAATCCCGTATTGATACCATTTGAAAGTGCTTTAATGGCACTTAAAAGTTCGACAGGGATGTTAAGCTCTTATGAACTGGTCCCACGACTAACCAAGAGGGGGTGAATTAGTATTTTAAAAAATCTTTCGATCAAAACACAATCTTAAAACAAAAATTAAGATTCACCACAAAAATCAAAATGCAAAAATTAAATGCAAAAGTAGTAATAAAGAACACAAAAATTTATAGTGGTTCGATAAACACAACCTACGTCCACTCCCCGGAGGTGCCCTTCGAGTATTGCACTAAACACAATGTCTCTCTTTTTTCTCCCACAGCAAGGTAGAAAAGCATTTACAAACCTCCTCTGCACCAATCCAGGTGAGGCAGAGAACCCAACTCTTTTTGCTTCCTCCAGAAGCAGATAGTGAATCCAACTACTTTTGCTTCCTCTTGAAACAGGTAGAGAACCTTCATTAGATGCTGAAGTAGACCTCTCTAGAAGCTCCAAGAAAATAAGAATGACAACGATTGGAGAAGACTACGACAGATCCTTGCTTGGAGCAACCTTTGTGAAACCCCTCACAAACTCCCCCTCACAAGATCCTCTCTCTCTCTCCCTTGCTCTCCCTCTCCTCTTGGCTCTCTCGGGTCAGAACAGCAATAAAAGATGCTCTATTAAAAGGAACAAGAGGTTTTAAATAGAAGAGCTTCGGAATAGCTCTTAATTATAAGAAACCGACTTTATCGTCTAGGACGATATAAATATCGTCTTATACGATCAGTGCAAATTAAGCTCAATCAACTAGGACGATTTTGGACGATCATAAGGTTTTTGTTCATATTGTCCAGGCCGATAGTATATCGTCCTGTACGATCAGTACAAATCATTGAATATCATCCAGACAATCGCACTGAATGGATGTCTGGATGATGGAAAAATAGCTTGATCGTCCCGGACAATTAGTTCAAATCTGTGAAAATCGTCTAGAGCATCACCCTGAATAGCAACTAGACGATGTTTGGTCGTCTAGGGACAACTAAGGTTTATGAACTGATCGTCCCAGCCGATCCTGCGATCGTTCAGGATGATATGATCGAGCAATCAAACCTTAATTGATTTCCTTAATTATTAGATTAATTTAGGCATAATTATGTTGCATCGTCCAGGACGGGACGATGTCCAAAAATAAACAATACCTAAATAGATATGGCGGCTGATTCTTTCTGATATGAGCTTATCATCCTGGCCAATACAAATATCATCCAAGACAATGCGCTCAATGATGGTTGCCTTAATCAGGATGCCCTAATTAGGGTTTATATTTTTAACTGATCATCCAAGCCGATTTGTGAATCATCCCGGACGATGTGAGCAAAAATAGAAAACTCTAAATCAGACAGAAAATATTTCCCCAAGTGTGTGTGTGCAAAGTTACTTAGCATCAAGTGCCACATCGTTTACAATAGAATCAAGAAAAGAAAAAGTTTACAAATTGACTCAGACATAGTCTATCCAATCTTGAGCTAATTTAAATTATAGTTTGATCTTGTGGACTTGAAATGTTAATAGGCATGGCAATCGTAGAGAAACATAACTGTTTGCTATCATCAAAATTATATTCCCTGAAAAATAAATTCGTAACAAGCAAATCCCTGTGTGTGTGCTTCTTTCCATTTCAAATCTTCTACAATGTGAATCTAAATGTGCTTCGTACCCTCATCCATCCAGTGAATTTTTCTTCAGTCTCTCCCCATCTTCATTACTTACTTTAAGTTAAACACACAAAATTATAATGTTATCGTCCAAGGGTTTTCATGTTAAATATTTCATGTTAAATATTTTACACAGCATGACACTAACATATGCGTACCTCTCATAGGTTGTTCCTTTGTTCTTCACTTAGATTGATGAGTTGGGCAGTTGAGAGCGAATTGATTAATAAATTTATCATTAATAAGCCAAAGCTAAACATTTGGGTTGCTTGTGATTTCTCATGCTAAGATTTCATTTGCAACATATTTCTTACAACTTTACTTTTCAAATTGCAACAATAATTTTTGTTTGACCACTACTTTTAACAACTTTCAAAAATATATTGTACTAAAAAAAATATTTTCCACAACATTTAAAAAGTACTTTCTATTTTATAAAGTAAAAAGAAAATTATCTCAAACGAAACCTAAAACATCTTTCAATTGCATATGTACAAGTTAATTAACATTCAAATTAATGCAAGCTCTATAAGGGTTGTTTGGTATCATCATATATACGCTCAAATTTACGTCGGATTTATGATAAATATTGCCAAATAGTTTTCAAGCACTTCATAAATCTTGAACATCGATACATCCCTAATTTACGACGTAAATCCTGGATTTAGAAAATCCATCGATTTGGTAGATTCACAAATTTATGGACTATTAAAATTTATAAGCTTGTGAGCAAGCTAGCTCTCATCGTGAAGGATGGAGGCATAGGTTACCTACACGGTGAGCTAGCTCCTATCATGACTTCCAATCCGACACCTTCACAGGAGGCGAACCAACAAGCAAACTCCCATCATGCTAATCACACACTACACTTGAAGTCAAAGCGCCACGAGTCAATGGCAACAATGACAAGGAAAAGCAACAAAGCACATCATGAGAGGAAAAGCAAACCCCATACAACCTACATTATTAAGTATTATTATTTGATAATGTAATAAATTAAACTAAAGTAGAGAATTATATTATTTATCATTATAATATATTAAATTCAAACCACAATAAATTTAATTTCTAAATAAACAAACAATCTTAAATCTAGAATTACTTTGTCAAATAATTTTTCCATATTGATCCAAATTTAGCCAAACAGCCCCTTAGTTTGGGGTTCACAAATACTTAATTTGGTTAAGCAATTGGCTCGAATTTATCATTTTATAAGCACATGAATTAATTTGAATAATATACATTAAAAAGGTTATTCATGCTAGTTTTAAATTATTGATAGATTCAACATTTATACTCCATCCCTAACTGCCAAAATCTATGAGCCATGCATGCAATAGAAATGGAAGATAATACTTGGACTGACCAAGTATTAATTTAGTCTCACTACAATCTGTAAGACCTAAAAGGAATCACATAAGAGAAGATGGTTTTATCACATAAATTACTACCTGGATTGTTCATAAGAAAAACGGTAACTGACGGATGGATTAAAGGCTTCTGAGTTCAATATGACTGACTTTAAAAGTGCTTCATTAGTACGGCCGATAACGCATTGGCCGCCTGAACCTTGGAGCTTTTCTGCATGCATAGAAATGAAAAAATCATGAATAGCAAATATAACAGGAGAGCCAGCTTATCATTGCCAGTAAGATCAAGATTTGCAATAGGCAATTGAACTTAGCTTAACTAATAAAGCTTGAAACAAAACAAAGAAATTCTCTACAACAGTTCAAAAGTAAATTAAAAGGAAAGATCCTTCAAGACTTTGGATATCAAAGAAGAAAAAGATAAAAGAGCAAACGTCCACAAATCTCTTTTAAGGTAATTTTTGACAAGTCGCCTAATCAAGCTTCAGGGTTCTGCTTTCATTCCTATTAGACATAATTCTAATACAAGGAACACCACCAAAAACAAAAAACAAATATATCAAGAGTATGGTTTTTAATCTAAGCTTGAGGCTCGAAAATAGCTCAGGTTTCACTTGCAAAATTGGTTGAGCACAAATTGTTATATAAAAAAAAAAGTGTAACCCAATGCATGATGCTCCAAATAATGTCAGGTATAAGGTGTTTTTGTCCGGTGCATTATCTTCACATTTTTAGGAAAAATTATTACGTTCGAATCCGGATTCGTATGGAGACCAGTAAAAATGCGCTACGTCGCCTCCAAAAATGTACAACGCCACTCAGCACCGAGCGCGGAACCGGACGGTTCTCCTGTCCGGTGTCCGCACAGAATAATCCCTCCATTTTTAGACAGCTTTTGGGGGAGGGTTAACCTTAGCACCTATGAAAAGCATGAACCGAGCTTAGAAATAAGATGAGCTCAACATGAACAAAGCCTGCACAATGTTTGACTAATAAAATATTTGATTACATATGCCTAAGTTCAACCTTCTTTCGCCGTCCCCTATCTTAGGCTAGGCCCAGGTCCATCGCAATTTAATATCCAACAAAAATACGCTCTCTGCTTTTTTCATTGGCAATTGGAATTGATGGAGATTAATGTAAGGAGCAAATATCAGAACACATTCTCAAATTCTAGGCCCCTTCCCATTTCCTCCAATAGAGTAACGATGTCTTGTAACTCCTGCAAAGGACACAGGTAGAGGATATATATATCTGACGGACTCTTTCGAATCTTTGCAAAGGGCAGAGATAATAGGTAAAGGGGAAGGGGAGCTTGACCTCGCAGCAGACAGCTAGTAGTATTTTAGGGAAGACAAAGGACGTCGTAGCTGAATCTCCAGTGAAGATCTCTACTACTACGTTAGTGGCTCAAACTTCTCACTGAGGCAAAACTGGTTAATAAAACTTAGGTGAGAAGATTGAGTTGCCTTGATCAATCGTTCGTCATACATTTCTGCCTGTAAACATCTTCAAGGGCTAGGCAACCTCCTTGGCCAATATCAGAAGTCAGTGGACGAAGAGCATTGCCTGTAACAAAAACATTCCTTGCAATATTGCTCCAGAAATAGTCATATGGCCAACAGAAGTTCAGAGGAGAAAAGACAAATCCATTGTTCAGATCACCAGCCTCAATGACTTGAACCACTTCTTTGCAAGTCTTTTAACTCTTCAAGTTACTTATCAACAATTCTCACGTCTTTTAAAATGTTTTCTCCTGCTTCTTTCTCGCCATGACTAGAAGGAAACCATGTGAAGAACCTATAGAGCATTCTCATCGTGGTGAGATATACCAACTCAGAAACTTTCTCAAAAGAAGTATTCAATGAGGGGACAGCTTGAGATGGAAGAATGAGGAGCATCTATGAGTTCTTTGCAAGCTGATGAACAGGAGGCTGATAATGGTCTGAATCCCAGCCATTTGGAACGCATTCCCCTATATAAACAACCTTAGAAAGGAGCCTTATGGTCTTAGGCATTCGATCCCTTCAAAATGCCTCTAACAACAGGCTTCTATTCAAAAAATGAACTTCAAGCTTCAAAAGAATTGATAAGCAGCCTTTAACGAAGTACGTGGATTTCGAGAATCCAAAGCAGAGTAAAGAGGGAAAAGCGAGAGAGGGAGAGTTGCATGAACAGGGAGGGAGAGATGGTTGAAGGAGATTTATTTGTGAGCAGGTGCTAGAGAGTGTGAAGAGTGAACAAGCAAGCAGAGAAAAATATACGACAAGAAAGAGGACGCATGCCTGGTGCGGAATTGACTGACTAATGTCATGAGAGGGAGCAGAGGGGAATGGGATTTGATTTCCATTTCACTCTCTTCTTTTTAATACAGGGCTTGCAAGAGTAGACATGATTGCATATGAAGCGTTGTAGCGAGATATTGAGGATTAATAATATAATGTTGAGTGAATTTCGACAATACAAGAATTTGTCAAAATTTATTCATTTTTTAAATAAAATTACTTGGAATAAAACAAAAAGGATAATATAGGTGATGAACCGACTTCTCATGCGATTCATCGTGCATCTCGAATTACACGTCTTCACCTTGCTTGCCGGTGAATTTTTCGAAATTTTCTCATGTAAAAACACAAGCAATATGTGTGCCATTTCTAGACAATTTTGACGTCCTAGGCGCATCGATATCGTCCGTTTTGCGGATGGTCAACATTTGAGTGATTTTGATTGCAATTGAGGTATTTTGAACTCAATTTCCATGATGCATCGGAGGTTCAACATTTTGGTTGAAATGAATCGATTTGATCACGAGAGGCCCTTCTTCAATAATTTTGACTCTTTGAATGCATCAACACAATCTATTTAGCAAAACGCGTGACAATTGAATCATTTTTGCTTTAGTCAAAGCATTTTGAATAAAACTTGAATAATGCATCCATTGTTTGACATCTTTATTAGATTCAATCAAATTAACCTCCAGGACCCTCTCTTGGTAATGTCAACACTAAAGTGGCATCAATGTAGTCTATTTTCTAAAATAAGTAATGATTAGATTATTTAGATTTATGTGATGTATTTCGAATTAGACTTGCACAATGTCGAATCCATCACCTGGTGATTTCATCATTGCATATCGAGTTGCATAGTGGAGCAGATGAGAAGGTCAACAGCCAATCACATGAATGAAAATGAGATCACATACCTTTAATCATAAGACAAATAGCTTCCTTCAACTCAACTACCTTTAAATACCAATTCTAACTACTAATTAATTTTTAACTACCAACTTCCACCTACCTTAAGTAACTATTGAAAGAAAATGCAATAATTATTTGAAATAAATTCGATCAAGTGGGGCATGTATCAATTTTTGTGTTTATCTGAATCATAAAGAGAGAAATCAAACACAATATCAACTCGGAGAATACTAACATTTTGCTATGAGAAGGAATTCAGAATACATTTTGCAAAAGTCAAATCATGCAGGGGAGAACTATTTCAAGCTTCATAGGAAAACCAATCCTCCCAGTTAGAATGAAGGAGTTCATAGATAAAATAAAAACAACCTTACAAATGGTGATGGGTTTGTTATGAAAAACTCTCTCAATAACTCTTGAATTCCAAGCTACTAATCCTATGATTCATAGTCCAATCAAATTTAATATTAAAACCAGCCCTAGTAATAGAAAAGTTAACAGTTGTAGATGGGTCGTCTATAACTATTGTTAGCAAAGGAATTTTAAATCTAAAACCTATTTTTCACTAAAGAATGCTTTACACATTCCAAAATTGTCCATCAATGTCATAGCCATTCATAAAAACACCACAGCCTTAAATTGCAAAATAAACGTCTTCCGTTCTCATTGTGTTTTTAAGGATAAAGTCATGAAAAGTACGCTTTGATCTGCTGCGAGGAATAATAATACATTCTGCTATCATAAGGAAGTGAGCACTCACAAAGGAAACTGCTTTCCCTTTCTTGCTAGTTACAAATACCTCTGCCTAGGATATCCTCCGAATGATCTTCTTAAAAATATGTTCCCTCCATGTTTTCAATCTATGATATTCACATATTTCAGCATGATACTCATGAATTTGCTAAATATTATCATTTGTCTTATCCATTAAGCAAGCTTGTCTTTCTACTTTAGCCCTATTATTTGTTCAACACCTGCTTTTCTTTACTAGCACTAGTTTATTTTACTATATTGTGCTAATACTCTACTCTACTTGTTTATTTGCAGGTACGTGGTACCTCTAGTAGTTGCAGGAGCTAGAGAGCTTTGAGAGTTTGAGTCTGTGAGCTGTTGTTTATCAGGAGGGGTTTAATTTTAGGATTTTGAAGCCTTTCTTTCTGTTTTCTGTTTTGGTTAGTTTTTTAGGAGTTTAGCTTTTAGTGTTAGTTGTATAATGTTTGATTTAGTGTAAACATTCTTCTATTTTTATTTAATGCATTTATTTAATTTTGAATTAATTGCATTAACATTTAACTTTAATTAAAAGGATTTAAATTAATTGTTCAGCTCTTTAATTGATTTTAAATATATTTTAAAATTATTTAGTTAATTTCACTGTATTATTAATTAAATTTAATAACTCGATAAATTTAATTAATTAATTAAAAGATGTTTTCTTGATAATTTCAATTCAAGTTAAAGTTTTAATTAAAATTTTTTAATTAGTGTTCTGATTTTAATTATTTATTTAAATTAGAGTTAAATTAATTAATTTATTATTAAATTATATTCAAAATTAATTATATGAATCTTAAAGGTTTAATTTTATTTAAAATGATTTAAGTTTAGCTTTTAATTAACTAATTAGTTAGCCATTTTATTTTAATTAGAATTGCTCATTTAATTATAATTAATTAGTTATTCTTTTCACGTTAAATTATTCAATTAAATGTTTTTTTTTTCAAATTTTTTCAAGAATCTGCACAAGTCTAATATTTTCGTGAAAATTTCGTCAGCCTCTTAACGCCCTCTCCCCACGAGGGGAGGTTAGGATGGGCACTTTCCCTTTATAGTCCATTCGGCCAAATCAAATCAAAGACAAGGGCTTCGGAGGAGCGAATCGACCCCATATTTAATCTTCAACTCCAATTTGAGTAACTACGGTACCTATTTAAAATTTGACATTTCCCCGGTATTTCAGAAACCTTTCAACACCCCCTCCCCATGAGGGGAGGTTAGGGAGGGCACTCACACT